TTCCCCTCACCCACCACAGCATAATGGCACTCCGTAAATGGGGTGGAGGAGCAGTCTGAAGGGGAGTGAGGCGGTAATTGGGTGAAAGTGAACAGTGGGGGAGGGAAATGGAAAGGGGAGGATGGAGTAGAAAGGGACGGAGGACCCCAAAGTGGGGTATATGGTGACAGACCAAATGCCCAAACTAAGCCACCACTCATTTGTCGCTGACAAGTGATGATAGTAGAGGAATGCTTTTCAGAAACCAGTTAATTGAATGATTGATTGATTTACTATTCCATTGACTAATTGAATGACTGATTAATTGGCTTCATTTTACAATATGACACAATGTTAACCAACAAAACCATTGTTATTATGAATAATGGAATAGATGAACTAGAAATGAAGCTAGACTTATTACTACTACACCAGGATAAATAAACAGATATGTGTAGCCTATTCTATGAACTGCACATTGCCTTTTAGGAAAGCACCAGTTTTGGGTGTCATAAAAAAAGTATCACAATTTAATAAAAACACTGTGAGTTACTAATTATAACGCTTTAATTTTCACGGTTATTCAAAGAGCACATAAACTGTATAGAGAAAGCGTGCAAAGAACATTGCATTATGAAAGAACATTAAAGGTGTAATAGGTGATTGTCTTCAGAAACATTTTTTGTTATGCTGGTTGAAAGTCTCTTCACATCCCGATAGCAATCATTAAGTTAAGTGGTCTAAATGTATTTATCTGTATTTATATATTCTGTGGAAGGCGTGGCACCAAGAAATGTTCGTCCAATCAAAATGCTCGGTCTGAGCGTTTTAATTGGCTTTCCTAACTACCTGTCAACATATGTCTTAGCATACCTCAGGATACGTCATCAGCGCGTTCACGCACACTGTGCAGACAGAGCGAGAATGGCAGACAAACATCAACAAGCCGATCTTCCTTCATGGTATTGTAGTACATTTACTAACTGTACTATAAAGTTTTCTCACCGGGTGAATGACACATGATGTAGCCCAGCGGTTTCCAAATCCAGTCCTCGCACAAGGGAAGCAGGAAAAATCGTCTCGGGTTACTTATGTAACCATGGTTCCCTGAGTAGGGAACGAGACACTGCGTCCTCTAGGGATCGCTATGGGGAACGCCTCGTCGTGACCCGTGTCTGAAGCATACATTGAAAAAACACCAACTCGTTGGCCGGCGACAGCCATGACGTCACTACCGGTGCGACTATAGTATAAATAGGCACCGGGAGCTACACATCATTCACTTCTTCATCTGAAGCTTGCGTCCGCAGCATGGTAAGAAACCTAGAGGACACAGTGTCTTGTTCCCTACTCAGGGAACCATGGTTACATAAGTAACCCGAGACGTTCCCTTTCATGGGAACTTCGAACTGCGTCCTCTAGGGGTCGCTATGGGGAACGGTATACCCACGCCACCATGCTGAGGGGAGTGCAAGCCAGAACCATGGCGAGCACTAAGAACCAACTCTACCATATTGCTATGGGAGTCGCCCCTGGGACGTTAGACGGCTGTCAGTGAC